AGAGGTTTGGATGGTAAAATCAATCTTCTAGCCTCAAAGAAGCTTCATGAGCACAGAGGAGTGCCAGTTCTCACACATCTCTCCTTCATTCATTCATTCTTGACTAAAGTCTGTATGCCTGTTTCAGGGACATTTAAATTATTCAAGGATTCCTTATGATCTTTACCAAATTCATTAAGAAGAATGCCAGCCAGTGTCCTTTTGTATACTAAGATATGTAGTCACCTGACTGAAACAGGTAACCAGAACTCTGACTTTAAAATGTGTTACAGATATACATGTTCTGTCTAAACTAGGGAAGGTTTCATACCTCACAGTCAACAGTGGGAGCTTTTCATTCTGCAGGAATAATCGTTAGCCCAGAACACAAAGATCCTAAGGAAACTACCATAGTGGAGTGCTCATTCTTGGGCAGCTGAAACACATTCAACACACTCCACTCTGCACATACCTGCTGGAGCAGGCCACTTTCCTAGCCCGTGAGACAGTAAAAGCGCCCCCCCCCCCAAATGTTACTGCTCCCATCCTGAGTACAGAGAAAACAGAGAAGAAACTATTTCCAGTTTTTGGTCTTTAAACAAATCTAAATATTGGTACTCATAGTGCCATAATTAGAAAGTAATAAACAGTATGTATTTGAGGGCAAACCACATATTGAGCCAATTAAGAACTCACTGTGATTAGGACTAGATCAAATATATTAGCAGAACATAAGCAAATTTTATCTGAAGTCTGTAATGAATATACATGTTGCAATAACATTAGAAAAGCATGGAGCCCATTCCAAACCAGCAAGAATAGTTTGTGCAAATAGTGGGTCTTTGTGTGTTTGAACTCCCACCATGTAAGGGCAAACTCAATGTGCATGCTAATGACCTATAATTACCAAATTAAAAAAGAAAAATACTAAAGGATGCCAGAGTGAACAGCAGGGAAAGCCACACAAAGACCCACTATCCTTTACTTGTTACAAATAAATTTTAACTATAAATTAGAAACACAAAGAAATAATCACAAGTGGCTCTAACATTCAAACGAAGTAAACAAATTGTGTAGGAGAGATTTGATCAGGGCTGCCTGCCCTGCCTCCACGCTAGAGTCAAACTTGGATAGTGGGTCTCTGGGGTGCTTTCACAACTGGAAGACAACATTGGGTCCTAAAAAAAGAAAAATGAGGAATAAAATGAACATAATATAAATTGGGTGAGAAAAATTTGACTAATAACACGCAACATCAACTAAACAAATCTGAATTATTAAAATTCCTAACCTTTAAAAATATTCTGATTACATAATGAAATGAAAATAATACTTAAAAGAGCCAAAGAACACAAACAGTAGTCTACGGTTTAACCAATTTTCACTGACTCATACATGCTATAAAACGATGACTCATTTCTAAAAAACTTGGTAGGTACATGAAAGATCTCCAATCAATTCCTGACTTTAAGGATTAAGCATTTCTGAACCATATCTTATTACAATTATAGGTTTATAATAAACTTACTGTGAGTAAACTTCACAGCTACCAATACAACTCCTTCTCCTTTGAAAAAGCAATTATGACTTTTCAATTTCTGGTAATTATTTCAAGTAAACAAAATCAGTGTGCCTCACTCTTGTAGGTGACTTATACAGTTGTTTTACAGAAACAGTAAACCATCTCAGAGGAATCTCTTTGGGAATTAGCCTCAGAATTACAGAATTGAGAGCCCTTTTATTCTAGGAGGGATAATTTAGTTGTGCATTTAGGCAAAAAAGTATACTTTTTAGACATGATTAAATTTTGAAAATCCATATGTATCAGTATGAAAAATAAGGTAATTATATAAGTTATTGATAATTTTATAACAAAGAGAACTCTGAAACTATTGTTATTTTTAAATAGCTTCTTGAACATTCCACTTTCCCTAAAATGATCAATAATTAGTACCTCCTCCCACCCCTAACATCTGCCCTTTTAGCAAACTACTTATTCTTCTCATCGAATATCCTCTGTGAAATTTCTCACAACATGCTTTCCCCACAAAGATTTAGGGAATCTCTTCCAAAATACATATGTGTATAAATATTCATTATAGTAACTGCCATGTGTATATTTATATGAACATCATTCCCCACTAACCTCAAAAGATACTTCAACAATAAGGACCATCCTTTCATGTTCTTATTCCCAATGCCTTATAAATACATAGTAGATGCTCAAAAAATTCTTACCAAATGAATTTCTTAATAGGAGGAATAATGTTAACAAAATCTAAAAGCATATAAGAAACTCTGTTCCTTAAAAGTCACTGTATAGGTCAGTAATGACTAAAAGACAACTATTCCGGTCTTCTTATTTCTGTTTCACTGTTATTTCCTTGTTTTATTTTAGGGAGGGCTTAAAGTTGCACTGTCTCCCATGGTAGGCACCAGCCACAAATGGCTGGTTTTAAATTAATTAAATTAAGAATGGAGTTTCTCATTCATATTAGCCACAATCCACTGATTAGAAGCTACACATGGCCAATGGCCACTGTACTGAAAGGTGCCTGGACTGTTTTTCTCACTGCAGAAGGAGAAAAGCAGTGGAGTGCTATCTAGTGGAGCGCTACTTAGTGCACTGCTATCTCCACTGGAGAGCACTGCATAGATTACGTACCTCACTCATCTAGACTGAGGCTCTGTCAGTTCTACCAAAATGGCAGACAAATCATTCTCTGACCCAGAGTAATTTCCATGGCAAGTATGCCCTTGGATAACTAATTCATGTCAATCTACTTCCTTTATCATTCATGTATCAAACATTTGTTGACAACTTACTATGCTGCTTCTTTTAAGGACTTAAAAGTTGTCACTCAGCTCTCTGGGAATGTTACTTTCGTAGAAGGCTGCTATTGCCTTCAAACAGATTTCTCTACAATTGTGACTTTTAAATTATGTCCAGAGAAGACACTGAAAGGACTGTGGTAGAATAGGTAGGGGACGAAGGGAAGGCATGGGGGCACAGCCCTTCCTTTAGAAGAGCTTTCTTGTTTTTTCAGACAGAGCCTCAAGCTGTTGCTCTGGGTAGAGTGCTGTGGCATTACAGCTCACAGCAACCTCTAACTACTGGGCTCAGACGAGTCTCCTGCCTCCGCCTCCCAAGTAGCTGGGACCACAGGCACCCACCACAACATCCAGCTATTTTTTGATTGCAGCCATCATTGTTTGGCGGGCCCAGGCTGGATTCCAACCTGCCAGCTCAGGTGTATGTGGCTGGCACCTTACCCTCTTGAGCCACAGGCACCGAGCCTTTAGAAAAGCTTTTATCTGTTCTTTATATTCCTTATCATATGAGACTTAACTGAAAAAGAGCGTTCCAAACAACAATATACAGTAGAACCTCTATAAGTTGACCACCTAAGGGACTATAACAACTAGTCAACAAATGTAGGCAGTTAAAGGTTACTGTACTGATGTCTACATATGGTGCATGTCCAGTCCATGGAAATCAGGTCAATGTAAGGAGGTGGTCAATGTAGGGAAGTGGTCAACAATGGAAGTTCTACTGTATTTCAGTTTTGATTGGGTTACGATATATATATTCTCAGCAACTAAATTAAAATGAAAGGCTAAAATATATCAACTAATGTCATAAGAATAATAAAAACACAAATCACAACAAATTCTATAAACATTAAAACTAAAAATCAGGCTCTGCACCTGTGGCTCAAGAGGCTAAGGTGCCAGCCACATACACCTGAGCTGGTGGGTTCGAATCCAGCCTGGGCCTGCCAAACAACAATGATGGCTGCAACCAAAAAACAGCCAGGCTTTGTAGTGGGCACCTGTGGTCCCAGCTACTCGGGAGGCTAAGGCGAGAGAATCTCTTGAGCCCAGGAGTTGGAGGTTGCTGTGAGCCGTAATGCCACAGCACTCTACCCAGGGGGGCAGCTTGAGGCTCTGTCTCCAAAAAAAAAAATAAATAAATAAACTAAAAATCAAAAGGGTAAAGTGACGTCCTTTTTATAAAGGTAAAAAATTATTTCCAAGTACTGCTTATTCCCTAATTTATTATTAATTCTGGGTTTACTGTTAACTAGAAGAATAGCCAGGTAAACACCAAGAGATAATTCTATGTACTACCAAATTTCACACTTTTGAGATCTAGACCCTTGAACTGACAACAGTTAAACAGATCTTAATTCACACATCCCTTGTGGAACAAGGTGGCTACCTAAAGGAGTCACCTAAGGAGAATTTTGCAAACAGTTTAAATAGGTTATTTTATTCTCTTCCAATTGGATAGTATGTATATGTGTGGGAAATAAATGAGAAGACTGTAAATTTAATAGCATCTGTATATTAAAATGGTCGCTCTAAATAGTAAAGCTAAATAGGGCTACTTTTTAAAACATGCTGAAGAAAAGGATGGTGAAAAGAAGCTTCAGAACAGATGGCTGCTATACCAAAGAATTCATAAGAAAAATTCTACGTTCTTTCAGAAAAAGCCAAACAAGGTCTGAAGTCAGCAAAATGTATGCATGTATGTATTTATTTTATTTATTTACTTTTTGAGACAGAGTCTCACTGTCACCTTCGGTAGAGTACTGTGCTGTCATAGCTCACAGCAACCTCTGACTTTTAGGCTGAAGCCATTCTCTTGCCTTAGCCTCCTGAGTAGCCAGGACTGCAGGCGCCTGCCACAGCGCCCAGCTATTTTGAGAGACAGGGTCTCGCTCTTGCTCAGGCAGGTCTCGAACCTATGAGCTAAGGCAATCTACCTGCCTCAGCTTCCCACAGTGCTGGGATTACAGGCACGAGCCACCATGCCTGGCCTAGCAAAATGTATTTAAATAAAGCAATACAAATTTTAATCTTCTAAAAAGTTTTTCTTTTTTTTTTTTTTACATTAAACACTCGTCTACATTTGCTTGTGAGTGCTGAGTCTGAGATCTGATCCAGAACAATAATTTCAGTACTGAATATTACAGTTTTAACACTAAGTGAGAGGTAAATAATTTGATACTACTTACACTGTTGACTTGGATCTGAGTCTGTCGTCATCTTCACATAGTTTGAAGGAAACAGACCAGTCACCCCACTGATTTCTCCTTGCCACCAGTCAGGATCATCTTTGCTCATAACATTAATAAGCTGCCCCTTGGAGAAGCTGAGCTCATCCTCATTACTCGCTGTGTAGTCATACATGGCAATCACCTGACAGACTAGCAGAGAAACAAGAAAAGAACAAATTAAATCGGTTATTCCTACAAGAGTCAAATGTTAAAACTCTCCCTTGGATTTAAATTACTTTAATATTGGCTCGGCACTAGCCACATACACCTAAGGTGGCGGGTTCAAATCCAGCCCAGGCCTACCAAAAAACAATGACGGCTGCAACCAAAAAATAGCTGGGCATTGTGTTGTGGCAGGCATCTGTGGTCCCAGCTACTTGGGAGGCTGAGGCAGGAAACTCGCTTGAGCCCAGGAGTTGGGGGTTGCTGTGAGCTGTGATGTCACAGCACTCTACCCAGGGGGATAGCTTGAGGCTCTGCCTCAAAAAAAAAAAAAAATTAATATTAAGTACTAAAATTAGGCAAAATTTCTCTTGAGCTATGTCTCTTACCTTCCTTCCTCTATTCTGTTTTACAAAAAAACAGAATTTCTCACCTACAGTTAATAATCTAAGCAAACACTTTAAGTCTGATGGTATAGCAATTTCACACTGAAAATTTTCAAGGAGTGAAGTGTTTCAAGTATCAAGTGGGGTGTTTCTACACAAAACTTTTTGGAAAGGAAATTCTCGACAGCATGTTACTTTTAAGCAGAGATTAAGGGAAGAACACCTTTTTAATATTTTTCAGAGTTAGCTAATTCAAGAAGTTGCTAAGTTTTAACAAACTCCATACCAGGATGAAATGCAGGTGTGGTTCGTTCACTACTTGGGCCCAAAAGTTTAACATGGCTGGCAGGAAACCATCCCTTCTGTCGCTTTTTTCCTCTGGCCTATAAATTAGCAAAAGAAATATACAATTGAAAGATGAGAATAAAAATCATTGAGATATACCTTGAAAATCAGAAAAACTGTGGATGTGCAATAAAGCATTACTCTTGCCCAAAGAGAAGTCTACCATTAGCCCTCGGCTCCTGGGAAGTAATCTCTAAATCCTTAGAATACCCTGACTAATAAAGAGTGTTTGAGTTTATCTGGGGACTCGGGGCCATGCCAAATTTAACAATGTGATTTCTCTTGGGTACTTTGGGTCATGCAGTATCAGCTCAATCTCAGAAGCAGTTAGACTGCAGGGGTGTCCAACTTTTTTTCTTTTTTGCTGTGCACTGGAAGAAGAAAGAGTGCCTTGGGCTACACATTAAATACACAAACACTATGAAAGCTGATGAGCCAAAACAAAGGTCTGCGTATACTTTTTGTGATATCAGACACCACAGATAAGCAAAACAGGCCTCAACTAATCAGCACATAGTACATGGGTCACAGGTTGGACATCCCTATTTAAAGACTGAGTTCAGGGTGGCGCCTGTGGCTCAGTGAGTAGGGTGCTGGCCCCATATACCAAGTGTGGCGGGTTTGAACCCAGCCCTGGCCAAACTGCAACAAAAAATAGCTGGGCGTTGTGGCGGGTGCCTGTAGTCCCAGCTACTTAGGAGGCTGAGGCAAGAGAATAGACTAAGCCCCAGACCTGGAGGTTGCTGTGAGCTGTGATGCCATAGTACTCAGTACCGAGGGTAATAAAGTGAGACTCTGTCTCTAAAAAAAAATAAATAAAGACGAAAAAAGTAAATAAGGATGAGTTCAGCAATATGGGCAATTAACCATACCTACGTGATGGGAGCCCAAATAAAAACTCTGAACATCAAAGCTCTGGTGAGCTTTCCTGGTTGGCAACACTCTGTGTGTACAGTCACATATCATTACGAGGATGATTTAATGCTGTCCATGATGCCACTAAAAGAACAACATGAACCCCTTTTTGGAACTCTCCTGCATGCTGCCCCATTGTCTCTTTCTCTGGGTCTCTGCCCTGTGCCCTTTCACTGTAATAAACTGTAACTATGCTTTGTGAGGCCAAGGCAAGAGGTTTGCTTGAGGCCAGAAGCTTGAGACCACAAGGCAACACAGCAAGACCCTGTGTCTACAAAAATTTTTTAAAATATTAGTCAAGTGTGGTACTTGACCCTAGCTACTCAGGAGGCAGAGGTGAAAGGACTGCTTAAGCCCAGAAGTTCAATGTCACAGTGAGCTATGATTGCACACCACTGCACTATATGACCCTAACTTTGAAAAAAAAAATTTTAAAACCTTCAAAAACCAAAAAAAACCCATAACTGTGAGTTTAACAGCTTTTAGTGAGTTCTATAAGTCCTTCTAGTGAACTATTAAACTTGAGAGTAGTCTTGGGGAGCCCTAAGCTTGTAACTGGTTTCAGATATGAGGGTGGTTTTAGAGACCCCTGAACTTAGTATTGGCCTGTTAGGTAAACATTAAACAATGTGAGAAGACTCACTACAACATGCTTCTCAAACTGCTGCTGAAAACACCAATTGCTGAAGTCTATTTGGAGGTCTTCCAGGCTCAAAGTTCTCTGAATATTTTCTACAAATAATATTTATATTAAAAATGATTTTCATAGAGTTCTCATAAATGGTGCCACCCACTGCAAGCTCTCTCTTGGAGCTTTGTTAACAAAAAATCAGTAGGTGATAAATACAAATTGTAAAGAGCCATGTTTCCCACTTATTTGGGTCTATCTTAAATCAGAAGGTAGAATTTCAGAGGTTTATTGAAGAAGATATTTAACCTTCAGTGTTCTTTAGAAATCCTAAGACTTTAGTCTGCAAGAACAGAGCTATGAAAAAAAAAAAAAAAAAGAACAGAGCTACGTATACCCTCTATATTACAATCCTGTAACAATGTTACATAAAAATATAGCCATTATACCTCTTGCTTTTTAGTTTAAGCCAGTAAGGAAATTTTAGGAGAGAAGAACCCTCTTTCTATATCAAGATATATTCAATAATCACTAATATTTTAGGAAAAACTGAGGCTCATTTATGTCTCTTTCCTTACACTGCGAAGGCCACTGGGGGACAGTCAAAATGAGTAGCATTTTCTCGGTACCAAATCCAGACCATGGCTTTCTCCTAAAGGCTATCTATAAATCTTATCCCAAGCAAAGATGATGTTGTCCTTTTCTTTAAGAAGGTGATCTGTGGTTTATTTAGGGATGCGTTACTGAAAAACAACAGTCTTTACAGAAAATTATTCTTTAAACTGTTACTTACAACATCAACTCAACTGTGCTAGAAATGAACAGGCAAAAGACTAGAGGAAACATAATACACTAAAATGTTGATATTAATTACTGTGAAGAAGTATGACTGTGAAGGATTTAAAAGTTTTGATTAATTTTATTTTTATGGCTCGGTGTTCATAGCACAGTGGTTATGGGGCTGGCCACATGCACCGAGGCTGGCAGGTTCGAATTCAGCCTGGGCCAGCTAAACAACAGTGACAATAGCTGGGCATTGTGGTGGGCACCTGTGGTCCTGACTACTTGGGAGGCTGAGGTGGGAGAATCGCTTAAGACCAAGAGTTGGAGGTTGCTGTGAGTTGTGACATACGCCACAGCACTCTACCGAGGGCGACATAGTGAGACTCTGTCTCAAAAACAAAAAAAATATATCTTTTTATGACCATGCATCACTCTTAGAATAAAACTGAAAGATACTAAAGGATATTACCTGTAACTCCCCTTGCCACCACCCACTTGTGTTTTTCTTTAGAATTAATATCAACTGCCCTGGTGCAAGGCTAAGCTGTTCAGAACCAGAAGCAACATATGCTGAAGTTACTTGAGCAATCTCTGAAAAGAAGAAAAAGAAACTATGAATATAAGACTACAACACAGCAAATATGTTACTTAAAAATTTTTAAGCTCACTATTATACATACCAGGTTTTTTGTTTGATGCTCCGGATTTGCTGGCACTCCCAAAACTCTATAAGGAAAAGATAATCGTGTTATCTTACCATTTCCAAGTACAAAGTTTATTAGAAATTAGAGATTTCAATTGCCAGGATTCTTTAAGTAAAGATCAAAATAATAATGAACTTCATAACTATTGCCCAAATAAGTAAAGAATCCAACACTTAAAGAGAAGATCTGCTCTCTCTGGTAATAGAATATATTTCATGCAAGTGGTTGATGCTATCATCTATGGACTCAATAGGAAAAGTTTTTTGTTGTTGTTGTTGTTTTTTTTTTTTGAGACAGAGCCTCAAGCTATCCCCCTGGGTAAAGTGCCGTGGCATCACAGCTCACAGCAACCTGCAACTCCTGGGCTCAAGCAAGTCTCCTGCCTCAGCCTCTCGAGTAGCTGGGACCACAGGTGTCCACTACAATGCCCGGCTACTTTTTGGTTGCAGCCATCATTGTTGTTTGGCAGGCCCGGGCTGGATTTGAACCCGCCACCTTGGGTGTACATGGCTGGCACCTTAGCCACTTGAGCCACAGGCGCTGAGCAGAAAAGTTTGTTTTCTGAATATTAAACATGACTTCTTAGGCCAAATGCACCCCATTCATCAATAGGGTTAGCACCAATGTCCACAATATACAACATGAGTATCCTAGATGTGTTAAGGCATATCAGAGTTTTGCTACTGCTTTCTCTAAGGGACTCTGATTTATTTATGTATAGTTCCTGCTGAATAGAACAAAAAAAAAATTTTTTTTTTACCATGTTCCTCCCAAACTGAATGAACCTGATCTAAGAACAAAAAAAAATCCATATCATGGGTTTCAACCATGACCTCTGACTTTAAAGGATAAATTGGACAAACCATGCTTCCTCTTTTTAGAAATGTGAACAAAAAAGGGATGGGATTTAAAATAATTTTTTTCTGTGGCTCGGCGCCTA